GAGGATTTAAGATATCAACATTGGAGTGCCAAAAGCATAATGTTTCTGTTGGCTATAGCCCCCAAAATTCCCAGCGAGTCCTTCCCATTGATTAACTTTGAAATGGAATCCAAACATCCTCGGCTGCAGGGAAAAGTTTATTTATTTTTTTTCTTTTTCACACTACCTACCAGTTTTGACCTAAAAATCATTTGATGTCAAATTTTTTCTTCTGAATCTTGCATTCTAATCATCCTCTCAGAGTGCTCACTTTCTCCCATTTTACAGAATTTTTGTCCTGGCACAAAAAAAATGAGTTGCTCTACTGAATGTGTAGTCTAGAAAGGGATACATGGATGGGCTTCAGGTTGTCCAGATTTGTCTACAAAAGTTTTTTGCATATGTGCTTTTTCCAGGGAGGGGAGTCCAGGGATTTTGTAGTATGCTCCAAAGGGTCTGTGAGTGCCCCTCCCAGCATTTAAGAAGCATTTAACTGACCCTAACAGAAAGACAACATGCAACAGAGTTCTCCTACCCTCTTCCTGTGATGTGTTTCCTCATAAGGCCAAGAGGTGGCAGCATAAACACCAGCCTGTAGCTGTCCCATTTTCCTGACCAGACAGGACTTTCAAGGGTAAAATGTAAGGATGTGAAAGCCCATCAGTAACCTTGTTTTGGCTTGGACAGATTGTGGGGATGTGTCCCCTCAAACCACCCTGGCCTTTAAGGTCACATAACATTGAAAGACATCATGTAGTATCCTTTTGTTCGAGTCCCATGCCAGAAAGGCACACAACTTGATCATTGACTGAATCAAAAGCACATACTTTAAATAGAATATACTCTCCCCACCTGTGATTAGTACTTTATTTTACTCCATAGTGTCATTGTTTATATACTATACAAACTGCCTTAAGAAATTACTGGGGTACCTTGCAAGCTCAATTAGTGGAGCATGCCACCCTTGATCATGAGTTCGAGCTCCACGTCGGGTGTAGAGATTATTTTTAAAAATAAATAAAAAAATTTTTAAAAAAAGAAATTACTTTGTGTGAACGGAAACATAGTTTCTTTGAGCCAACACCAAAAGATCACTTTCAGTTCTTCTACTCCATGGGGGGTTGAAAATAACAGAAAAGGGGGAAGTTGTCTGACACATGCAGATTCTGATTTTTATTTTGATAATTATCACTTTCATTTTCTGTGAAAGTATGAGAAGCACGATGTTTGCTACAAATTCTTAACCAGAGGCACACTGGATAATTTCTCTACTTTAAACATATCTAGTCGATTCAAATATAAGCATTTTAAGTAGCAGATTCTGGGTGTTAATATGGCTGATTACAGTGAAATTTCTCAGGATAGAGTCATGTGTTTATGTTATGCAATCCTAGTAATTCTTAGTGATGAAATTAAGCTTGTGTTTCTATCTTCAACAAGTCAAGCATCAGACCTTAAAAAGCAATCATTTGATGGGCTTAGATGAAATATATTTTGCCTATTATTTCTATTGTCTCAAAAAGTTTCCATAAAATTCATAATTATTAGGCAACAGAGAGCAGATATGCCCAGTTCCAGGCTGTTTTGTGTGAGAGAAGATGACAGAAAGGGCCTGGTGGCATTTGACAAATATCAACAGACATAATGCAAATTTTGTGGGTGGAATAGAACTTAAGAAATATTTGCCAGCCTGTGTTGATTCATTTTTCACAGTCCAGTTTAAACTGTGAGTCTCCCTTGAAATAGAAAATAATCTCCTGCAGTTAAACAAGAACTAAGTGTTCAGGGTATAAGTCCAGCTTCTCTCGGAAAATAAGTGATTTTGAAAGGGCCATTAGTTGGTCAATTAATTAATCAATTGATTAGTTTTTATGGAGCATCTATTTTTTTGCCTAGTTTTCTACTAAGTGTTGTGAAGATTACAAGACAAATGTAATGCATAATTTCTTAGTTATATTCATGTTACCTTTTGTGCCTCAGTATGTGAATGTGGGGAAGACAGTGCTATTTGGGATCCATGGATCCGTAGGGGTATAAAAGGGCACTTTCTTAAGTGTTTTAATGTAAATGCTTCTCTTTCACTTTCTGGAGAATATCTGATTGAGAAGGACTAGATGCAACCCCTTTCATTTGTATGTTCCCCACTTCCTATTAGCCCAAGTGCTTGACACACCTGGAGGTCCTTTTTTTTTTTTAAAGACTTCTTTATTTGGGGCACCTGGGTGGCTCGGTCGGTTGAGCCACTGCCTTCAGCGGGTGTCATGATCCCAGGGGGCCCGGGATGGAGCCTGGCATTGGGCTCCCTGCTCAGCGGGGAGCCTGCTTCCTCTCTCTCTGTCATTACCCACCCTCTACCCCACCCCTCTACCCCTGCCTCTGCTTGTTGTCCCTCGCTCTCTCTCTGTCAAGCAAATAAATAAAATATTTAAAAAATAAAAGACTTGTTTATCTATTTTAGAGAGAGCGCGCACGCAAGCACGGACGGGAGGTGGCAGAGGGTGAGGAAGAGAGAGTTTTAAGCAGACTCAGCCCTGAGTGAGGCACCTGAAGCTGGCTGGGGGTGGGGGGGCGGGGGGTTGATCTCACCACCCTGAGATAACGAACTGAGTGGAAACCAAGAGGTGGGTACTTAGACTGTGCCACCCAGGTGCCCCCGGATTCCTTTTATGAAAAGTTTTCATTGAACACCAATTGGTCCAGATGGGCCACAGTTTGCAGGGCCTTTAGGCTGCTAGTTTGTCTCGTTCTCAAGGATGTTTGTGTGTTTTTGTCTGATAGCTCTACCATAAGGGATAGAAAATTCACAAAAGGCTTGTCAACCATGCAGATCTTCTGGTAGCATAGATCCTATTGGGGTGCATGGTTATCTTTGGGAGGCAAAGGTGGGGGCTCAAGCCGTAGAACAGGTTCGGACTGGGTGGCCCTTTCTCCTGAGCACTGAATTCACTTCTAAGAGCACCGCAGGAGTCTATCTCTATGGGGACTATTTTTAAATATTCCCAGTGTATTGGGACGGATGGAGAGGCTGAGTCAACAAATATGGAATCTACCACACTTTGGATTATAGTTCCCATGGGATATAAAAGGGATATGTCTGGAACCTTCATATTCTGTGCAGTTTCAGGGTTCTCACACAGCCTCTAATCACCTACGTATTTAAGGCATCCTTATTTTTTTAACACAGTGGATTTATGAAATTCACAAATAGCAATTAAGTTCAGATTCCTCTTTAAAAAAATTCTTATGCTGCAGCTTGACTTACCTCAGTTTTATCTGACCTATAATTATTCCATATATTAGATGGTCTCAATCACTAATTCCCAAAGTGTAACCCTAGAAATAAAAGTTCCGCAGCCTATCAATAAGCCTTGTTTGGAAAAGGGTTATGCAAATAAATTTGAGAAATGCCGGGCTAAGCCAAGTTCAGCAGGTTTCTTGATGGTAAGACTTAATGTGATTTGTAAACCTTGGATGGGAAGACTGTGAGGCCTTCCCCAAATGTACTGGTCAACTTTCTTTCCAGGGAGGGTCTCGTAGGACCCGTGTTCTAAGAACTACACTTTGGGAAGCACTTGTCTGTAGATTTGTTCCTGTTTGAAAACACTTTATCCGAGGAAAAGTGGACAAGTTTTATGAAGGAAAAGTAGACATAGGGAAGACAGAAGACTACCAAAGGGTTTATTTTGGAGATTTTTTTTTTTTTTAATAACTTAAGACCAAAAAGGCAACAGAGAGGTCTATGGTAGTGAATGACCACTTTATAAGAAAATATATTTTACAATAATTTTTTTAAAAGTGCATTGAGGATTACAAATTGGTGAAAATATAAAGAGGCTGCTAAAATAATTCCATTCTCAGGCACAATTTAGTGTAAGGATCTCATTAAGATTCATGTTCTGAAAACGTTTCATTTCTAAAATAGGCTTGGGCCTTTTATGTATAATTTAACAAGGGAAACCATAACAACAATAATGTATGGATAGGAAGAGTTTATCCTCTTGAACGAACAAATTAGGTCATCGTCAAGCAGTTTTATCTAATGGGAATCCCCGCGAGGTACTTTCATAGTGAGAAATGGCTCTTCTCCTGTTAGAAAAGAATGCTGAAAAGAACATTCCCCTCCGTTTCGCACAAGACCCGGCGTGTGCCACAAGAATTGTCAATGTATTAACCACTCTCACCCCCCCACTGGTGTTGGCATGCATCATCCAATCCAGTTGTCTACCAGCGGGGAGCCCTTGTTCGAGGCAAGGCCGGATCTACAACCTCTCCACTCTGCACCCGGGGCTAGGTCTGAGCGTTTGAAGAAAACAGAGCCGCTTCTCACTTGCTGTCTGCCCTGCGGTTGCAGCTGGATAAGTCTAGGAGACGTCCAGCAGATCTCTGATTTGGGGCTTTTTAATAAGCGTCCATAATAAGATCATCGATCAAAAAGCAAGAACACTAAGTATGCCTAAATGTAGGAATTCTTTCTGATGAGGGTAATAATACAAAGGAAACCGAAGTTCTAATTTTGACTCCCCATGGGTGATGGGCGTCTGGTCTTAACATCTGCCCGGGGCGGGAGACCCACCTCAAACACCTCTCTCTTTCTCAGCAAGCCTGGGTCTGAAACAGGAGCGGGGGATTTGTTGGTGATGGGTTTCTAGAGCACCAGAGGAGGGAAATCCAGAACTTCCTTTGGAGAGATCGTGACCTTTCTAACAGGTACCATCATCAGGATAGTAATTCTTGAAATGTGTAAATAAAAGTCGCGTTAAAAATAGCAGTGCCGGCAGGCCAGTGTACCAAATGGATTGCTGCAGTCTGAATGCGATTCTTCCCAGGCCACAGCGTGCCAGATAAGCATCTGCTCGTTTTCGGTTTTCCTTTTGCAAGAGCTCGCCCCCCAGGGGGAGCTAAGCGGCCCAGCGGAGCCGGCGGGGCGCGGCGGCTCCGGGACTCCCTCCAGGGCCCGCGCCGCGTGGACTGTGCAGCCGGGAGAGCGCGGGGCTGCGTGGGCCCCGGAACCTCGGCGCGGAGTGGTTTCATCTAATATTAATTGTTTTAACCTCTGGTGGTTTAAGTGGTTTTATTGGCAGGAAGATGCAGGCAGCAGCGCATTAGCGGCGAAGGCTTCGGATTGCGCTCACAGGGGAAACAATGGGCTGGAATTTGAGAAAACAAACCCAAGATGTTAATTAGCCGCTAAGGCACTCGGGGCATTTTGCAAATATTAACATAGCCTACTTGTAAACTCCCGAGGGCTGCGACTTCGTTATTTGTTTGGCACGCTTTTTATTTATAATGCATTGTGGTGTCATTTCGAGTTGTAAATAATTTCTCGAGAAAGTGGGGAAAAGGGTGATCAATAGAGAGAAAGGAAATTCTTTTTCCTCCATCTCACTGTGTTCTTCTGCATTTTTGCAGACTTCCATGGATCTCAGAGAAAACCGTCTATTCTAAAGAGGAACAAGGTTGATCCACCGTAAGTGATAAGTAAAACGGCACAGACTAACAGAGGGAAGGGCTGAGGGTTGTTCTTGACTGTTTATTGCGTTGTAGGCAACTGCGTTCTTTATTCTGTTTCATCCTTTCCACCACCTGGTGAGGTAGGGGGTGTTCGCACCGCCCTGCAGGTGAGCAAGGGTCAAGAGTTCTTCCTCCGCCCCCCCCCCCCCCCCCCCCCCCCCCCCCCCGCCGGCTGACTGCAGAGGGGCGGTCAGACTCAGTCTCTCTGGCGGGGACCTCGGGGGAGCCTGTGGCCGTCGGTGCCCTGAAGCATGGATTCGGAGCATCAGCAGCCTGCCTTTGAAACCTTGGGCTGCGTAACTTTGAGCGGGTTATTTGACCTGGCTCAGTTTCCGTTTATACCTAGCTCCCGGGTTTGCTGGAAGACTTAAGGCCGCTCACCCAGAGCCAGGCAGGAGCGGGGGCTCAAGGAGTGGAAGGAATGCCTGACTTCTTTATCTCTCAGTGGGTGGTGACTTCTGCCCCACAGCCTGCAAATAGGCTGTAAAAACTGTGCAGTAAACAGGTAGTTGAATTAGTCGCTGAGTTTGGATCGGGGAAAAGGTTCAAATCCTGGCTCTGCCCTGCTGATTGTGTGACCCTAGGCCAGTTAATTAACTGCGGATGCCTCAGTTTCCTCCTGTGTAAAGTGAAGGTAATAGGGTGGCTATGAGAATGAAGGGGCATGCCTGGGAAGCCCATTACGTGGAGATATAGCACCTCCTGAGGGCAAAGTCATTGTTATTATTTCCTTCAGATATCAAAACGGAGCATTTTCTCTTCCGGATTCATATGCTGATGTTTCCAGAAGAGAACTGTTGGATTTCTGTCTTACTATTCTGCTGTTCACACCTCGATTTCTTTTCCCATTGAACACTATGTCACATTTTTTTCTTACTGGGTTCCAGATGTTGTTCCATAATGTCCTTCTGCCTCTTTCTAGGCTGAGGGAGACACTGGACGGCTGACTCCTATTGCATTCACACACCATTATAGTGAGCCAGGTGCTGTGGGTGTGTGTTGGGGGGGTGGGGGTGGGGAAGTGCAGGGATCCAGACACCATAAAGAAGCTGTGCCTGTCCTCAAGGAACTCCAAAAGAAGGATGGAAAGACAGGGAATGAGTATTAAAAATCCAAGGCAGGGGGCACCTGGGTAGCTCAGCGGGTTAAGTCTCCTACCTTTTTTGTGTGTGTGTGTGTGTGTCAGAGATAGAGCGAGAGAGAGAGCACAAGCAGGGGGGAGCGGCAGGCAGAGGGAGAACCAGGCTCCCCGTGGCACAAGGAGTGGGATGCGGGACTTGATCCCAGGCCCCTGGGATCATGACCTGAGCCAAAGACAGATTTAACCAACTGAGCCACCCCAGCATCTCTAAGCCTCCTACTCTTGATTTCTGCGCAGGTCATGATCTTAGGGCTGTGAGATCAAGCCCTGCCTCTCGGATCTGTGCTGCTTTTAAGATTCTCTTTCCCTTTCCCTCTACCCCTACCCTCTAAAAAATAAAGACAATTTAAAAAGAAGAAGAAGAAGAAAAGAAAAGAAATCCAAGGCAGAATGAGGTGAGTGCAGGTGAGGAGCTGGTCAGGTAGGCTGTGGTAGGAGGTGTCAGAAATGTGGTAGGATCTGAGATGGGTAGAATCCCTGGAAGGATGGATTGGAGACAGAGAGAGCTGAGACAGAAGGGAGCAGCAGCCTGAGCAAAACTGTGGTGGTGGTGGGGGGGGCGGACAGCAAAAGGAGGAGGGTTTGGGAAGTACGTTTTCCTTTCCAAGATGGTTTAAGGGAGCAGTAAAGGATGGAGCCAGGGCTGATGCTGAATGAAGGGAACCGGTGGAAGGGCCATGAGCAGGGTGAGGTTTCCCAGTGTCGGATGAGGGTGAAGAGCAGTTCTATTAATGTTTGGTAAAGTGTGAGAGGTGAAACATAAGGAGATTGTGGCTGCCTGGGCTCTGGGTGGAGACTGATGTTCCAAAGGGCACCCAGGGGGCTGCCGGGATGCTGCTCCCCCTGGGCTGTGGCTGAGTGGGGTGACGATAAAGGAATGGGGCAGGGAGAAAGTGTTTGCATTGCTTTTGGGCTTCCTGTGCCCTGGAACCTATTTTCTCAGAGAAACGGTGTTAGACAATGTGTCCAGGTTCTAAAGTGAACTCATAAAGCCCATTTAATCCACAATGTTTCACATCATATCATAGTACACAAAGCCTGTTAATCCACAGTGTGTTATAGCATACCACAGTACAATTGGTATGTTTTACCAAGACTGTGTCTTAGAATTTAATGTCTGTGGGAAAATTCATTGCAAATTCCAAGTAATGGGCTAGGAGCATGATGGTCAGCTGGGGACTCTCTGATATGAAACAGTTACACTGTGTGCCCAGGGAATGTTTACCTGGGGAACACCTGTTCTGTTGCAAACCAACATTGGGGTTGGCAAATGAGAAAAGAAATTTCTTTCTAGTAGCTTATGTTCTATGCTTTTTATGGTTTAGAATTTAAAAGACACAGCAAATATTATTCTTGTGTTACATTTGCAGATAATAAATTGTTATCCTTATAACTGAGAAGAGAATATACTTCATTGACAGCATTTGTCGTCAATGGTAGTTTTTGATCATTGGCCTATTAAACTGGTCCTGGGACGTTTTTCCTGTCCTGGGATTTTAGAATCAATGACTACTACGGTTATGAGAGGTCACTCTTAGACATCTGTCTGGATAAAAACTACAAAGAGCTCAATCATGGAGTATTTTAAAAAGTGAATCCTTTTGAATAGATATGACATGTTATTTCTTATATTATTGTCACCTTTGCCAATGTCATTATAATCAGCAGTAACATCATGCCATTTATTAAATGCTTACTGTATGCCCAGGACACCCTTTGAGAACCTCTACCTTAAAGCACCTATTACCATTTTGCAGCAAAAACTAGTTTTTGCCAAACAATGCCCTGGAGAACTGCATTAGCCATCATCTAAGATTTTTTTTTTTTGGTCAATCAACAAACATGGACCAAATACTGTGCCAGACACTGGGAAATCAGTTCTGATTAAAATGAATCTCTGTTGTCCTAGAACTTAAAGTTGGAAAGGTACACAATTAAGCTAATAATTACGTAAATCATTCCAGGTACATGAAGTGCTATGTAGGGGTAGTGCAGAGTATTGAAGCATATGGGAGCGGATCTGTTCTCAGGGGAGAGTGGTCAAGGAGGGTTTTTACAGACGAGATGGACAAGACAGAGAGGCAGGAGTCAACCAAGTAAAAAGAAGGGTCATGAGCCCACAGAGGGAGTTGAGTGTATGGAGGTTGAGGGGTGGGTGAGAGTGTGGTGTTTGAGGAACTGACAGGGGTCAGGTACAGTTGGACGTGAGAAATTGACCGCGAAGCTGCTGGAGACGAGGCTGGAGAGAGAGAGGAGTAAGGCTTCCTGAAGGAGCTGGATCGCAACGCTGAGGGCATGGGGAAGTCACTGAAAATTTTGGAGCCAAGAATAATCAGATTTGTATTGTCTGATCAGATTTGTATTGTAAAAATTGTCACTTTGCCAGTGGAGACTGTACTGGAGGGGTCAAGAATAAAGGGGAAGAGGTAGACGTGTCCAGGTGAGATGTAAAGGGGTCTGGATTAGGGTGGTGACACTGGGATCAGAAGGAACTAAGATTTACCACGTACCACGTTACACCAGTTCTGACATGTGTACGTGTCATATTTTCATCTCTGAAATTGTGATAAGGCTTAGATCTGGTGGAGGTTTTGTTTCTTAGAGGCACACAAGACAGTGATGCATCCAGTAACCTATGGCCTCTGATGTTAGATGAAATACGGTGCGCAGGAGGTCAAACCTGCTGGCCTTGGTGGTGCGGTGCTCCCGGGGCCAGGGGCCCGAGCAGCCAGTTGAATGGTGGGGTTGCAGTTCCAGCAGAGAAAAGGCTTTATGAGAACAGTTTTATTCTTCCGATTTTTTTTTTAATTTGGCAAAATCCAAGTGAGAAAAACCATTGGTTAATATATACCAGGAGATGAGGTGCCGATTTTAAAGACTGTGAAGTAGTCTATCTAGGTTTTAATTGTCGATATGAATTGTTGATATTAAATTGCTTTTATTCATTTTATTAAATGTTGTTTTACTAATTGCTGATGCTAAACTGGTTTCTCATATAGATGCATTTCCCAGTTTGATTGCTCTTGATCTCCCTTTAAGGCAGTATATTTACATTTCCTGCTGTGTTAGCATTCCTTTCTATCAGTTTTACTATCTGTCTCTTGAGGATTCAGTAACTTTAATTTGTGCATGATAGACCACGTGGTGATACCAAGTATTTGTTGTGTTGGTGTCTTTATGGCTCAGTTGTTCTGGAATGTCCTTTCACTGCCTATTAGCAAAGCAACCACATTCAATATAACTGTTGTCAGGAATAAGGAATCACTGCAGGTAAATATTGAAAAGATTTAGCTGTCTTCCAGTTTATCTTGGAGGACATTTTTAGCTGAAGAATAACAGGCTTACAGGTAATAGTTGTTAGTAACCTGACTAAAGAGTTTAGAAATTCTGGAAGTTCTGTCCTAGACTTGCCTATGGCAAAATTTGAAACATTGATGGCTAATGTGTTCTCTTCTCTCTCTGTCTTGCATATGAACCTGATAATGGTTTAGAAGCATTATACTGTACCTCTGACCAAACAATTTTAATTTAAGGGTTAGAAATTAAATTTCTGATGTGTTGTTTTGAAGATGATCATGTTTATTTACTTTTTAAATGCATGCAGCATTTAGAACAATTTCCAAGTGCTTTCCTTTGCTGTGGGGTTGGCCTGACAGCGGACCTTGGAGGTGAATCTATAACTAGTGCGGGCATTTGTTTAAAGTAGATTCTTCTGATCTGTGACTCCTGTTTTGGGAAGATTATCAGATGAGTCTCCTACAGTGTCATTTCCCTGTGGGTCCTGGAACTTTGGAACTGCAGCTGCATGTTCCCTGGTCTTATCCTGCTTGCGGAGGGGGGCAGAGAATTCCCTGGAAAAGGGTAGAGCAAGGGGAGCTATACCTGGAGGTCCAGCTGAGTGAACAGAGTTCATTTGTCTCGCTTGGCTGGAAATACAGTTTTGAGTGGTGTCTGATTTAGCTAGTTCAGGTCTACAGTTGAGACTCTCTGGCTGCTGGAGGAGAGAAACCTTTTTTTAAGAGGTAGGGAGGGACAGAGGGATAGGGAGAGAATCTTTAAATGCTTAGCATGGGGCCTGACATGGGGCTCGATCTCATCATGATCCTGAGATCATGACCTGAGCCAAAATCAAGAGTACTGAAACAACTGAGCCACCCAGGTACCCTGAGAAACCAGGAATATTACAAAGTAAAACAGTATGAACTTCTGATAGTGGTGAGAGCATGGAATATGCCTCCTCTGATATGGCTCTTTTGCCGTGGCTATCAATAATAATTTAGCAAATCCTGTCTTTGTTTATATGCACACTAGTATATGTTCTTAAGGGGAATAACCAAGATTAATTTATTTAGAATGCAAGGAGTCATTTTATAAGTTGGATGATAATGTTTATCTCATGAAACACAAGGAAGGCCGATCAGATCAGTCCCTAGATGCACCGGAAGGGATTACAACATCGCATTGCATGTCCGTTTTTTATCTATAGCTTTAAAACAGAATAGTATTGCCTGAGCAATTTCATGTTCTATGATAGGCAGAATACCTAGAGAATAAGCCTTCCTGTGGTTTCTTTTTTTAATTTTTTTTTTATTTTTTAAGATTTTATTTATTTATTTGACAGAGACAGAGAGAGCGAGAGCAGGAACACAAGCAAGGGGGAGTGGGAGAGGGAGAAGCAGGCTCCCCACCTAGCAGGGAGCCCGACGACCTGAGGCTTGATCCCAGGACCCTGGGATCATGACCTGAGCTGAAGGCAGCCGCTTAATGACTGAGCCACCCAGGCGTCCCTTCCTGTGATTTCTACTCTGGCACTTGCTTTAGGATCTAGAAGAATGGGAGCTATTGGCCTCTGGTACATTATCAAGCTTTCTGATTGTGAACATTAATAATAAACATCTTAGATTTTTTTTAGATAATTTAAAAATACATAAGTACTTGAATACTGAATCTTTATCTTAGCTGTTTCTTGAGAATACTTGTCTCATTGTTGGTGATTCATGTTTATTATTAACTAAGTAATAAAAAATTAAAAGCATTTTATAATAATGAATAAATTATTTTTAATGAATGTATAAAAGGGATTGATGTTTTCAGTAGACAAAGAATAATGGCTTGATATGGCGTGCAGGTGGGAAAAAATGGTCGCAGGATGAATGAAGCTAGGCTGCCACGGGTTCTCTTCTATTTCTGATGAGGGTTTCTTGGTGCCATTATCAAAGTGACCCTCTTCTCTTCTTCCCTTCCTTCCTAAAGGGCCCAGTGCAAGTACTACTTTCTCTCCAAAACCTCTTATGCCTTCAACCCACTGAGATTGCCCTCCTTTGAATTCAGGTAGTATGTGGTGTGTATAATATACTCTCTTAAAATTATTTATATTGTTTCTTTATTTTTAATGCTCATGAGGACAATGATTTTTTTCTTCTCTATTTCCCATAGTGCTGTGTTCTTTAAATAGAGGAGATGAACAATGCATGTTGTTTGAATTCATTCATTGGATTTATCCTATTTAGGAATTGGACTTGGAACATATCTAATTTCCTCTCTCTTGGGAAAATAGTAAGTTTCCCATTCCATTATTACATTAAAAATTTATGATTTTAAATGTATATGGTATATACCATCATAAATTTACTTTGTTAAAATAAGGGATTGAGAAACAACATGGTATAATGAAAAATACTAGTATTTCTAAATTTAAGTTGACTATTCAGTAACTGGGTAGCCATTCTCTGCTTTAAAATTTCTTAGCTAGAAAATATGAACTTTTAAGAGCTAAAAACTATGTTTGTCTTATGGACAAGAGCTTTGCTATGGAATTTTACTTTTATATAAAAAAATATGCCCCTTCCCTCTCTGTGCTCCCGTAAGTTGTGGCTATGTAATTGCCCTCTAGCCAATGGAATGTAAACGGAAATTTGATTAAAAAAAAAAAAGACATCTCTTCCCTTGGTTTTGTTCCTTCCTTCATCCTGCTGCTTGGAGCATTGAGGATATAGGCCACATCCTAGGCTGCAGAGCGGGGAATTTGAAGGAGCCTGGGTCGTGAGGACTTCATGGAGTCAAGTTGCCCTACCAGCCTTGGACTACCCATGAAAAAGAAGTCAACTTGTCTTAAGTCACTATTTTGTGCCTCTGTTGCTCACAACCTAACCAAAACCTTATTCATACTCCATGACTACTCATTTATTCATCTTTTACTTTCACTAGACTCTGAGCTCCTTGAAGGAAGGCACTATACCTTACTCATGTTTGAATTCCTAGCACCTAGCACAATGATTTGACTTATAGTGGAGTACTCCATAAATGGTTATTGAATGAATGCATGAAAAAGCAAGTGGGTTATTACTTGCAGTGGCAGCTAAGTCTCTTAAAGTTTGTTCTGGAAAGTTAAGGTCAGTGTCTTAGCCAACTGTTCTTCATCCAGGTTCCCAGAATGAAGATCGTACATGGAGCAAAACTGAAGATGACATGCATATAACGAGAGGAAAAAAAAATAAGCCTTTTTTTTTTTTTTTTTTTTAAAGCAAACCATTATGCACTTGGACAATTAGAATTGCAATTCAGAAGACACAGATTCGGAGAGAAGTCTGAATTAGATTCCCTAAAAAATCAGTCTTTGTTGTTGTAAGCCATTAGGATTTTTGAAATTGTTTGTTACTGTAGCACAACAGAGTGAAAAGCTGGCTGATGTTGTGGGCTTCATATTTGAGAAAACATGAGACTGGAAGGCTGAGTGAGAGTTTGCCTGCCTGGAGGAAGCTGGTGGCTTGGGACATTCGAGGCAAAAAGAAGACCCCCTTGAGGGATACATTTTCTCAGCACACCGAATTCTGTAATATCAAGATCTGGTTCCCAAATCCCCTGCTTGTTCCATGAATTTTGAATTGGAAGTACTCGAGAATTTTCATCTGTGTCCTCTTCTCCCAAAGTTTGCAGCCCACATATGTTAGATGTGAAAGAGACAGGAGGTACTGAGGGGAGGGGAGCCAAGAGGTACTGAGTACCCACGTGCCAGTCTCGGTGCTGAAGGCATTTTACTTCCCACCGTCATTTGCCTCTCTTGGGGTCTGAATGAAACTTCCATGTCATCACTCTTCTGTTTCACCAGAAAAATGTAAAACTTTAGCTCCTCCTACCTTAGTAAGTAGGGAAGCTCTTTACCATTTGACTCTATAAGTGATTTTTGGGCGGGTTCTTCATTTTGCACTACATAAATCGGATCGCATTTTACTGGCTACTGAACCAGTAACAAACAACTCAGAATGTTTTTGGTGATAAAAGTTCCAGTTATAAAACAAACTGTGAAAATAGTTTCCTGGATCTTGGACAATGAGACTCAACTGAGAGGCTATAGGAAACAGATAAACCCCCCAGGAGTCTGGAAGGAATCTTTTTTGAGCCTAATGCGGGGCTTGAACTCATGACCCTGAGATCAAGACCTCAGTTGAGGTCAAGAGTTGGACACTTAAATGACTGAGTCACCCAGTCACCCCAGGAAAAAATCTTCAAAAAAGTCACATCTTGTGTTTTTTCCCAAATTATTTCAGTGCCATATGCACATTGTAGAAAACCTGGAAAGAGATATAAAAGTATACTTTATTAAAAATTGTTTTCCCTCCAGGATTATATATATCATATATATACAGCTTTTAGTTCCCCTTTGGAAGATATATTTTCTCTGATTTTTAAAAGGTAAATGCTTGGGGCACCTGGGTGGCCCAGTCAGTCAAGCGTCCGACTCTTGATTTCGGCTCAGGTCACGATCTCAGGGTCATGAGATGGAGCCCCACATAGGGGGCTCCACAGTCAGCATGGAATCTGCTTGAGATTCTCTCCCTCTCTCTCTGTCCCTCCTCCTGCTTGCTCTCTCTCTCTCTCTCTCTCCCTAAAAAAAGAAAACAAATATAGCAAGTATTTGCCTGTTTTTTCTTTCTTTTTTTTAAAGATTTCATTTATTTATTTGTCAGAGAGAGAGAGAGAAAGAGAGCACAAGATGGGGAGTGGCAGGCAGAGGGAGAAGCAGGCTCTCCGCTGAGCAAGGAGCCCAATGCGGGCACTCGATTCCAGGATCCCGGGATCATGACCTGAGATGAAGGCAGACGCTTAATCGACTGAGCCACCCAGGCGTCCCTGGTTTTTCTTTTTTGGCACCCAGAAATTTAAAACTTTTATTTATTTATTTATTTATTTATTTATTTATTTAAAGAATTTATTTATTTATTTGTGAGAGAGAGAATGAGAGATAGAGAGCACGAGAGGGAAGAGGGTCAAAGGGAGAAGCAGACTCCCCGCTGAGCAGGGAGCCCGATGCGGGACTCAATCCCGGGACTCCAGGATCATGACCTGAGCCGAAGGCAGTCGCTTAACCAACTGAGCCACCCAGGCGCCCTAAAACTTTTATTATAGTCAGTTAATTTCCTTTGTGATTTTTAGGTTTAGAAAGGATTCCCCATCTGAGATTAGATAAATTTTCATGCACATTTTTCTTTAAAAATTTTGTTTCATTTTAAAATTTCCTTTTATTTTTACATCTAACTATTTAATTTCTTTATTCTGGTGTGCAGTGAGAGCTACCTAGATTTCTTTCCTGGCATAGAGCGGGTGCCCACTCCATCCTGTGCCAGAACGAATGAGTCAGATAAGGATGCGTTTCCCAATGAGGGCATTTTGGAAATCTGTAGGGGCATTCTTTGGTTGTCACGGTGATGGGGGCAGGCACTGCTGGCATTTAGTGGGCAAGGACTGAGGATACATCTTGGCCTTTGTGGGACAGTTCCAGAGTCTACTGTACTTTTGAACACCCCACTGAATTGAATACATTATAAATACAAACCAGTAGTACTTTAGTACATAATAACACTAAAAAGTCACAAAATTACAAGAATGGCCCATAATATAGTATCCTGTTATTACGGAGAGGGACGCTTAAATGAAATAAAGACATTTTCTTCTTTTCCTCCCTCAACTTTATTGAGGTATAATTGACAAATACAATCTTGAAATATTTAAAGTGTACAGTGTGGCGATTTGATATACATTCCCCCCATCGAGCCAATGAACACATTCATCACCCTCACGTATTTACTTTTTGTGTGTGAATAAAGACATTTTCTTAATGTCGTTGAATAATATAATGTGTGCATCCTGCCTAGTTCAATGCAGTCTAGCGTTTCTAACTGCATCCTTAGTTGAGAGAGTTTTTTTTTTAATAAACTAGGCAACTGACTGCAAATGTGCAACAGAGAATTGTGATTCCTTTAAACATTCTTTTCTTTTTTTAAGAAAGATTTTATTTTATTTATTTGACAGAGAGAGACAGCAAGAGAGGGAACACAACAAGGGTGAGGGGCAGAGGGAGAAACAGGCTCTCTGCTGAGCAGGGAGACTGATGCGGAGCTCTATCCCAGGACTCCAGGATCATGACATGAGCTGACGACAGATGCTTAACCAACTGAGCCACCCAGGCGCCCTTTGTCTCTCTTTCTCTTAGCAAAGACAAGTAAGTTTTGTCTGTTACCATTTATTCAAACACTAGATTTTATTCTAGTGTCATTTATATCTCTGCTTCTTCACCCTCCTGTGCTTCTCGTATGGATTGGCTTCTTATGCTCTCTTTCTCTCTCTCTCTCTCTTTTTAATTAAGCTCTATACCCAACGTGGGGCTTGAACTCATAATCCTGAGATCAAGGGTCACAGCTCTACCAACTGAGCAAGCCAGGTGCCCCTTCTTGTATTCTCTTAAATCCAAACTTACTAAGTTTATATAGGGGCAAGCATCTGACTCATTATGTCTTCTAATGTAGTTGTGCTGCTCAGCATTTTAATGTTAAAAATGTATTTTATTTTGTTATAAACCCTTTATGATACAATTGGAACACTGTATATTTTTCTGAAATTATGTGTATAGGTTGGTTATTTTTTTTTTAAGATTTTATTTATTTATTTGACAGAGAGAGACACAGCGAGAGAGGGAACACAAGCAGGGGGAGTGGGAGAGGGAGAAGCAGTCTTCCTGCTGAGCAGGGAGCCCGATGTGGGGCTCGATCCCAGGACCCTGGGATCATGACCTGAGCCGAAGGCAGATGCTTAATGGCTGAGCCACCCAGGTGCCCCTAGGTTGGTTATTTTATCTGTGAGTTATATTTTAGGATGGTATGGAGGCCTAAAATTCTTTGTTATCTTAAGAGATTAGGTTTGAAATGGTTGGGATCACTGGGGAAATAACAAACAGATTTTTTGATAAGTGCATAGCTGGCTTGTCCATAGGTTTAAAAGAAGGAAAATCATAGCTATCACTTTTGTGGCACTGTTCTGTTTTATGTGTATTAACTCACTTACATCTCATAACAACCCTATGAAGCGGGTACTATTATTATCCACATTATACAGAGGAGAAAATTGACGCACAGAGAAATTAAGTAACTTGCCCAAGGTCACAGCTGGTAAGTGGCAGAGATAAGATGTACTGAGGGATTATTATGTCACAGTGTGGGAATAGGGATTATTATTAATCATAGTATGATCAAGCAACTTGCTTAAAGTTACACAGTTTGGCGGATCCTGGATTCAAACCCAGGCTCTTGGCCCCAGAGTTTCTGTTCTCAATTACCACACTGCTTGGTCTTTGGCCAAGCTCTGTTTTATGGTGTTTTGATTTTTTTTTTTTTAAGATTTTATTTATCTGAAAGAGAGGGGGAAAGAGAGAGCCCGAGCAGGGAAAGGGGTAGAGGGAGACAGAGAGAGAGAGAATCTCAAGCAGACTCTGTGCTAAGCACAAAGCCCAATGTGGGGCCCGATCTCACCATCCTGAGATCATGACCTGAGTCAAAATCAAGAGTCAGACGCTTAATCGACTAAGCCACCCAGGCGCCCCATCTGCTTTCTGTTTTTGTTTTTGTTTTGTTTTGTTTTGTTTTTGCCATCAAGCTACACTAACCTTGCAAAAAAAAAAAAAAAGAAAGAAAGAAAAAGCTTCTCTGTATAGATAACCGAAGAGGTATCTTTTAGAGATATCATATGGTATCATAAGAAATCTTTGATTTCTTCTTTTTTTCTTAACTATTGTTGCCATTGAGCTATTTTTGGTGTTTCTAGACTGTCGTAAGTTTGGGAACTTAGGATGGTATAAACACTGTAGCAGCAGCTTGAAAGATCTTGCAGTCAGTCTTGAAAGTTTGCCACGAAGTTCAGAGAGAGAGAGTAAGGAAGTGGTCGGACATGGGTTCTACTGGTAATTTGAGGCCTGGGGACCTGGACTATGGTCCCTTTGTTGCTGTACTGCTCTCAGGCTGGCAGTTAGACTCAGGTGGCTTGGAGCAACAGCAGAGACAGTGACAAGCAAGGAGGAAGGGTAATTTGCCATTTATGTCCAAGTTCCTCTTCTTCATTGTCATCAATGGTACTGACATTAGGAGGCCCATGACATTGACCTCACTCTCAGAGACATGTCCCTGACATGGCAAAAAGGATACTTTGACATTCTGGCTTCTAATTTTGAACTTAGGAAACTTCCACCCCTGTTTTC